AGTGGTGCGATCTCGGCTCACTGCAAGCTCCACCTCCTGGGTTCACGCCATTCTCCCGCCTAAGCCTCCCGAGTAGCTGGGACTACAGGCGCCCGCCACCTCGCCCAGATAATTTTTTTGTATTTTTAGTAGAGACGGGGTTTCACCGTGTTAGCCATGATGGTCTCGGTCTCCTGACCTCGTGATCCGCCTGCCTGGGCCTCCCAAAGTATTGGGATTACAGGTGTGAGTCACCATATTTTAAAATTTTGTTTAGAGATGTGGTGTTGCTACAATGCCCAGGCTGATGTCAAACTCCTGGGCTCAAGCGATCCTCCTGCCTCGACCTCCCAAGGTGCTGGGATTACAGGCAGGAGCCACCGTGCCCGCTACCAACTTTTTAAACTCAGCCTAGATGTGAGTTCTTCGCTAGATCAGCCCCCACTCACCCCTACTGCCCTCCCTGTATGATTAAGAGAAGCCCAGTAGCCGGGATTGTTCTTTAAGGGTTGTGAAAGGCACTGCTCAGTGGGGATCTTTTGATCTGGCTCTGAGGGTGATGGATGGACGCTGCTGGAAGGGAGAGAGAACAGCAGGAGGTCAGAGACTAAGTGTCAAAGGGCCCATGATGTTTGAAATGGTAATGATCAGAAGGGAATCCACTCAGCCCCTTTCCACTTACCTTCCAAAAAGCTGTGAGTGGTGGAGTTTGGTTTCAAATTCAGCCCTCTTTGCTTACTAGCTATTAGACTTTGGGGAAATTATTTACTATCTGCTGTGTTCTCAGTTTTCTCATTTATAAAATGGGAAATAATAGCACCTGTGTCCTTGAGGCTATTCTGGGGTTTCACCAAGGGAAAATAGAACGGTGCCTGGCACATAGTAAATACCTACAGAAGTGGCAGCAAGGCTGGGTGCAGTGGCTCACACCTGTAATCCCAGCACTTTGGAAGGCTGAGGTGGGAGGACTGCTTAAGTCCAGGAGTTTGAGACCAGCCTGGGCAACATAGTGAGACCCCCATCTCTACAAAAAATAAAAATTAGCTGGGCGCAGTGGTGCACACCTATGATCCCAGTCACCTGGCAGGCTGAGGTGCGAGGATCGCTTGAGCCCAGGAGATCCAGGTTGCAGAGACCCATGATCACACCACTGTACTCCAGCCTAGGTGATAAAGCAAAACTGTCTCAAAAAAAAAAAAAAAAAAGTTGGCAGCAATTACTACCATTGAGTGTGCCTGACCCCTGGACCCCTGGACCCCTGGAGCAGTGGTGGGTTTTTTAAACTGGGTCTTGCTCTTGCCCAGGCTGGAGTGCAGTGATTCAATCACTGCTCACTGCAACTTTGAACTCCCCGAATTCAGGTGGTCCTCCTGTCTCAGCCTCCCAAGTAGCTGGGTCTACAGGCATGTGCCACCACGTCCCACTCATGTTTTGTATTTTTTGTAGAGACAAGGTCTGGCCATGTTGCCTAGGCTGGTCTCGAACTCCTGGGCTCAAGTGATGCTGCACCCACCTCGGCCTCCCAAAGTGCTGGGATTTCAGGCATGAGCCACGGCGCCCGGCCAGCAGTGGTGTTTCTACAGACAGAAACCAGATGTTACTTCTTAGCACCAGTGATGAATTTGCTTTGCACCCCAGTCTTCAAAAGGTTTCTGGTGGGGGTGCCTCTGTGTGCTACACAGCAGGTGTAGAGGTTAAGAAAGGTCAGAGCTTCTCAACCTAACCTGCTTGCAACTCCCCCACTCCCACCCCACCACCCCACTGAGATTTGAAAAAATACAGATTCTGATTCAGCAGAATCCTGAAAATGGCTCTTCGTGGGGTGCAGCCCCATGTTCTGCATTTCTCTTTTTTTTGAGACAAGGTCTCGTTCTGTGGCCCAGGCTGGAGTGCAGTGGCACTATCACGGCTCATTGCAGCCTCAACCTCCCGGGCTCAGGTGATCCTCCTAACTCAGCCTCCTGGCTAGCTGGGACTCTGTGTGCACACCGCCACGCCTGGCTAATTTCTAAACTTTTTGTAGAGATGGGCTCTCCCTATGTTGCCCAGGCTGATCAACTCCTGGGCTCAAGCGATCCTCCGGCCTCAGCCTCCCAAGTGCTGAGACCACAGGCAGGAACCACCATGCCTGGGCCTGGGCTCCAACCTTGGCTCCGCCACAAATTCAGTCTTACTTCACAAGTTAGTTGACCTCTGTGTGTATCTTCTCATCTATATAAAAGGGATGATGATAACACCCCTCACAGAGCCATCTTCAGGATGAAACACAAGGCACTTGCACCAGAGCCGGCCACACAGTGAGCACCGTGTAAGGTTCACTGTTTATTACCTGCCTCCTGAAGGGAGCTTGCCAGACAATTCTGAGTGTGGAAGGAGGTGGAAAGATGAAATGTGCACACCGACAGGTCAGTCTCAGCTCACTACAACCTCCGCCTCCCAGGCAAGCGATTCTCTTGCCTCAGCCTCCCGAGAGCTGAGATTACAGGCGCACGCCACCATGCCTGGCTAATTTTTGTATTTTTAGTAGAGACGGGGTTTCACCATGTTGGCCAGGCTGGTCACAAACTCCTGACCTCAGGTGATCTGCCCACCTCAGCCTCCCAAAGTGCTGGGAATACAGGCGTGAGCCACCACGCCTGGCCAAGATTGATTTTTGTATTGACATTTTACAGTGCAGTTTTTTTTTTTTTTTTTTTTGAGATGGAGTTTCGCTCTTGTTGCCCAGGCTGGAGTGCAATGTACGATCTCAGCTCACCGCAACCATCGTCTCCCAGGTTCAAGCGATTCTCCTGCCTCAGCCTCCCCAGTAGTTGGGATTACAGACATGCAGCACCACTCCCGGCTTTTTTCTTTTTGCATTTTTGTAGAGACGGGGTTTCTCCATTTTGGTCAGGCTGGTCTCGAACTCCTGACCTCAGGTGATCCACCTGCCTCGGTTTCCCAAAGTGCTGGGATTAACAGGCATGAGTGAGCCACCGCGCCCGGCCAATTACAGTGCAATTTTAAGAAAAATAAATAATTGCTATTAAACTTAATATTTAATAGCAGATGAAAAGGATGAAAGAAACCCACAAAGGTCTTTGTCTTATTTATGGTGAGGGCAGTGGATAAAGCGGAAGCTCAGAAACCAGCTTGCTCATAATCAAATCTTGGCTCTACCACTTCCCGGTAGTTTAGCCTCAGGCAGAGTTCTTTCACCCGTTTCCTCATGTAAAATGGGGCTAACAGCACCTACTTTTGAGGGCAGATGAGATATTAAATGAGTGCCTAGAGCGAGGACAGGTGCAAAGTGCTCAGTGTCACAGCAACATTGCCAGCGGGCATCCCTGGCCTTGTTTCACGCTGTAGTGCAACACTGACACCTAGTGGTCAGATTATAGGGCTACTTCTTCAGCAAGAAAGTGTTTCAACCAAATATTAGTATATGCTTTTTTCATTATTATTATTTTTTTTAGAGACAGTGTCTCCCTCTGTCACCCAGGCTGGAACGCAGTGGTGCAATCATGGCTCACTGTAGCCTTGAACTGGGCTCAAGTGATCCTCCTGCCTTGGTCCCCCTAAGTGTTGGGATTACAGGCTTGAACCACCACACCCAGCTCCATTTTCTGTAATGAATACCTCAGTCCTCAACCTATTTCTCAGACCCTTTTTTTTTTTTGACACAGAGTCTTGCTCTGTCACCCAGGCTGGAGTGCAATGATGCGATCTCAGCTCACTGCAACCTTCACCTCCTGGGTTCAAGCAATCCTCCTGCCTTAGCCTCCCAAGTGCTGGGATTACAAGCATGTGCCACTATGTCCGGCTAATTTTTGTATTTTTTGGTAGAGACGGGGTTTCATCATGTTGGCCAGGCTGGTCTCGAACTCCTGACCACAAGTGATCTACCCACCTTGGCCTCCCAAAGTGCAGGAATTACAGGTATAAGCCACCGCTCCTGGCCTCTGAGACTCTGAAGTGCCTCTGTATTGCACATATGTCACTGGAATAATGTTCTTTAATCCTGGGAAGCAACTGCTTTAAAATGAGGGAACACACAGGTACAAAGCACAGGAACTGCCTGGGATGAACTGTTACTATTTCTTTAGCTCTTATGGGAGGCAATTGTTCAAAACCTCACACCTGCCTGGTGAGGTTGGAACTACTGTCCCCAATTGATAAATGACGGACATGAAGTTTGGCCAGGTCCTGTGACTTGCTTGGGGTCACCAGGTTCGAGGGAGGGAGCTGGGCTCTGCAGCCATGGTGTGCTCTAGAGTGGTGCTCACCAACCAGCGCCCGGCCTTTTCTCCTGCTGCAGGTTTGGGCTCACCCTGGATGGTCTGCCCTGCCCAGCCCCACGCTGCCCACTAGGGAAATCCATCAGAGGCCTCCTCTGCTTGGGCTGGAGGACTGTCCAGGTAGACTGGGATGCCCACAGGGAGCAGTGGACAGAGGCGAGAAATGCCTGTCATTTCCAGATGCCACCCACGGAGCAGATGCAGAGGAAAGTCCTCAGAAGGCTGATTGCTCCAAAAAGCTTTGATCTGGGTTTCAGCCCTCGGCAAGCTTAGGGAACTTGAGGGATGTCTATGAGAAAGGAAGACAGGAATGGCTTTATGAGATTTCCTTCCATTCTAAAAGTAGCACCTGCTTGTGACAAATGCAGAATACAGAAATATAAGCAATAAACAAAAAATAATGAAACAAAACAAAAACCTAGAAATACAGGCAGGGCATGGTGGCTCACACCTGTAATTCCAGCACTTTGGGAGGCTGAGGTGGGATGATTGTTTGAAGCCAGGAGTTTGATACCAGCCTGGGCAACATAGTGAGACCTGGTCTCCACCAAAAATAAAAATTAGCCAGGTGCGCTGATGCGGGCTTGTGTCCCAGCTACTTGGGAGGCTGGAGTGGGAGGATCACCTGAGCCCAGGAGGTGGAGGTTACAGCGAGCCTTGGTCGTGCCACTGCACTCCAGCCTGGGTGGCACAGCGAGACCCCTGCCTCTCAGAAAACAAGCCAAAATTGGGTTTGATGGTTTCACTTCATTGTTAACATAAAGGAAAAGCAGTAACACTCGTGTCAGAATTATACTCCTGTCGATGGCAACAAGGCAGTTCCTGTTCCACTCGCTGAATGAGGTCACGGGGCGTTCATTCATTGTAGTCTGACTTTGTGACGCTATTGTTGGTGATAGAATGATAAAGTTGATGGTGGATTTTGCAAGATACACCTGAGGTACAGGTGCTTGGAGCTCTTGATAATGTGTACTGCGTTACATGATCTGTAAATCGTGGGCTATGCATCCTTTACACTCGACTGGAACACCCTATGCACACACCTATGCACACATGTGTTTCGCGGAGAGTGGTGCTCAGCGCTGTGCTAGGTGCTGAATTAGGCTCTGGGGTGCAGCAGTGACCTGGGTGGTCATGTCTCCGCCTCGCCCGGCCACCTCCGTTGAGAAACCTGAGCAGGGGGCTGGCTGGAGGCCGACGGCGGAGTTCTGTCAACGGAGCGCCGCCAGGGGGCGCGCGAGGCAGGGCGGAGCTGCGTACTTTGTCCGCCCGCGCAGCCCGTCGCTCGCGCCGCGGCGGGAATATCCGACCTGGCCGCGCACCACCGCCCCTTCTCGGCCTTCCTGCATTTGCCCAGGGTCGGCACGCAGTAATGGAGGAGGAGGGGGAGACCGAGGAGCAGCAGCGATTCTCTTACCAACAGGTACAGGAAAACGGTGGTCGGGCTGGGCTGGGGCAGGACGGCGTCGAGTTTCAGGACAGAAAAGGATCCCGAAGCCCAAGTTGGTCTCTCATCGGGGCCCCCATGCCCCGGGCGTCTCCCGCGGCTGCTGCTGCGCCTGCGTCGGCTCAACTGCCGCGGGTGGTGCTGGGAAGCGGTTTCCGCGGCAACGCGGCTGGACCGTGGCCTGCGCGGGCTGGGGAGGAAGCGGTTCTAGGGGAGTGCGCGGGCTCCGGGGTCCCGCGGCAAGAGGCCACCTTCTGGCTTTGCGATGCAGCCTCGGTTTCCCCTTCTGAGATGGGGTTGTTGTGAGGGTGGAACGTCGACATTAGAGACACTCCAGGTGACGCCCGTAGCGCGGTGCGCGGTTGGGGCCGGAGCTCTGGAACGCTGCTGGAGGGGTCGACCCCTCGTTACAGATGCAGAGACGCGGTGCGGACCAGTCAGGACCAGAGCTCGTCCTTAGATGTGGGTTCGAATCTCCGCCGCGCCAACTTGTGATCGTACCGACTCGGCCCAAATGCAATTTTCTTCTCTGCAAAATCGTCGTAAGAATAACCACCTGTTAGGGTAGCTGCAGGCATCCCATTCTTTCCTTTCATCAGCGCCGGGCATACTGGGCGGCAGAGGCTGAGAACCTTACTGTGCTGTGAAGAGGTGAAAACCAAGACCCGGAGTGGCGACCTTAAAGACGAATTGAAGAAACGCGGGAATGAGCTCCAGACGCAGGAGTTTCCTCTCTACAAACTTACATTGCAGCAGTTGTCTACCCTGTCCCTTGTATTTTGAGAAGTTCAAACCTTCAGAAAAGTTGCAAGAACATGGTACAGAACGCCTAGATGCCTGTCACCTCGATTCACCACTAGTTAGCATTTTGCTCTGTTTGCTCCCTTGCTTTTTTTCCTCCCTGATTGGAGAATTAATTGCAGATATTTTGACAATTCGCCTTTACATTTTAATTCTTTAGTACACATCTCCCAAAAACAAGGCATTGGTTGGGCGCGCTGGCTCACTCCTGTAATCCCAGAACTTTGGGAGGCCGAGGTGGGCAGATCACTTGAGGTCAGGAGTTCGAGACCAGACTGGCCAACATGGAAACCGCCTCTCAACTAAAAGTACAAAAATTAGACGAGTGTGGTGGTGGGCGCCTGTAATCGCAGCTGCTTGGGAGGCTGAGGCAGGGGAATCGCTTGAACCTGGGAGGCGGAGGTTGCGGTGAGCCGAGATCACACCTTTGCACTCCAGCCTGGGTGACAGAGCGAGACTCCATCTCAAAAAAAAAAAAGAAAAAAAAAGAACAAGGCATTCTCCTACATCATCTCCATAAATTATCCCACTCAGGAAGTTTAATATCGATGAAACGCTGTTGAATGTGCAGTCCATGGTCACGTGCCCCCACTTGTCCTAAAGATGTTTCTTTTAACTGTCTTTTTTCCTTCAGGATTCCGTTAAGGATGGCGCGTTGCATTTAGTCATCTTGTCTCTTTGGTCCTGCCTGCCCTGTTTTTTTTTTTTTGAAACAGAGTTTTCGCTCTTGTCCAGGCTGGAGCATAGTGGCTCCATCTCAGCTCACTGCAACCTCCGCTTTCCGGATTCAGGATGTTCTCCTGCCTCATGAGCAGCTGGGATTACAGGCGCCCACCACCACGCCCAGCTGATTTTGTGTGGTTAGTAGAGACGAGGTTTCACCATGTTGGCCAGGCTGGTTTTGAACTCCTGACCTCAAGTGATCTGTCCGCCTCGGCCTCCCAAAGTGCTGGGATTCCAGGTGTGAACCACTGTGCCAGGCCTGTTCTTAGTCCCCAGAACACAGCCTGGCTCTCAACAGACGAACAAATGCTTACTGATGAAATGAAACTGCAAAGATGGGCCGAGAAATTTGCCCCGAAGCTGTGATTAGCCTGTAGAAGATTTCCCGCTGTTCATGTAACCAGCTGTTCTTGGCACTTGGTAGGCAGCAGTGAACAAAATTGACAGGGTCCTGCCCTTGAGGAGTTTAGTGATTTAGACCCTAAATGCAGCGATGCCCCCAGCCCAGCCAGGTAGAACGGAGGAGGAGGAAGGTCTGAGAAAAATTCCTGGAGCCAAGAGCTTTCAGAAGAATTCATGTCCTGTACCCTGATGCCCACCCATAAGTAAAAAAGATGATGTTGAGCTCGGCAGGGTGGTGTGGGCCTGTAGTCCCAGCTACTCAGGAGACTGAGGCAGAAGGTTCACTTGAGCCTGGGAGTTCGAGGCTGTAGTGTGCAGTGACCACACCTGCGATCTTCATGCCTCCCAGGTCGATGGCGCTTTGGCTTCTCCTACCAGAGGCCTCAGCTTACCTAGCCTTGTGAGGTCTGACATTCAGGAAGGTAGATGCCCTCCTCATCTGCCTGACCTCTATTCTGAGGTCCTGGACTTGCGTTTTTGGCAGTTCCTCCCCCTTTTGCCTATGCGTTGAACACTTGCTGGTAGATTTTGTGCCCTTGTGGGTTCAGCTGTCATCATGTGCAGCTCAGCTCTGTCTTCGGCCCTGAGGCAGAGTACCCACACCTGGGCTCAACAGAACTCTGTCGACACGTGGCCGAGACCATTGCTTAGGTTATCTTGCACTTGAGGCTCATCCTCCCCTCGGTAATTTTCTGCAAGCGGCAGAGAGATCTTTTTCAGAACCGAAAAGGGTTGCCAGGGAGCAGTGAGGCCCCGTGGAGGTAGCCTCCCAATCCTCCGAATCGAGCAGGGTGGGTGTGCCCTCTTGAATCTTTCCCGTGTTGTACTTTTGTCCTCTGTGACATGCAGGCCTGGGGCTGCCAGGGGCTTGCAGCAGAGGGATGGGATCCTTCTGTATTTACTTGATTAACCACATTAAGGGCAAAGTTCCCTGCCTGGTTTTTCATTGTCTCCCAAACACCTAGCATATGCCTTTACTCAGGCGTATGTCCAAACTCCGCAGATAGTTTGGAATAAGGGATTAAAACCACGCGGGGCCTTGGCAGGCACGAGTCTGATCTGTCTCCCCACTGACTTGCCATCCAATTCCTTATCTTTACCTGACATAAATCATAACCATTAACAAGGAGGTAATGTTTCTACAAGTCACACTCCAGTGGGCCTCATTCACTGATTAGTACACTTGAAAAGCCACTCAGCCATTATGGAAAGCTCCGAAGGAATTGGGCTGAGCAGACCCTCTCCTTGGTCTTAATTTTTTAAGCCGTGAAAAGCTCTTATTTGCAACCTTACCCATGAAATATTTCGATTTTTTTCCCCAGAGGCTGAAGGCAGCAGTTCACTATACTGTGGGTTGTCTTTGCGAGGAAGTTGCATTGGACAAAGAGATGCAGTTCAGCAAACAAACCATTGCGGCCATTTCGGAGCTGACTTTCCGACAGTGCGGTATGAAGCTTAGGCCTCCCTAGCCATGTCTGTAAACCCCAAAGGTTGATTTCACCTGGGAGCAGTACGTGGGTGGGAGCTGTGGGGAGTCTGACCAGCAGACCGAGAATATTATCATCGTCATGTGTTCTTCATGAAACACTGCTCTTTTTGGCTGCGAGTTGTGGATATTTTATGGGAAGAACTATTTTTTTCCTATTACACTAACACTGGGGCATTAACGCCTTTATTTTATTGTTTTAAACTGCCCTGACGGCTGGAACATCAGACATTACATTTTTTGTTTCAGTGTTTTATAACATTTTTATATTACCCATAGTTTCTTTGACAGCTGAGCTTTAGCGTTGGTATTTGCTTGACTTCAGACGGAAAACGAAAGACCTCATAAGCCTTAACTGTAGCAGAAGTTAAAGGACAGTTTCTAGAAACCAAAGGCATAGTCACAATTAATAGAAGACTTGCCATGAAGGGTGGAGGGCTCTGGGAAGGACAAGGAGGTCATCATGAATAAAAAAAGCCAAAGGCTCTTAGGGAATGGCGGGCCTCCTGGAAGCGCCTCCTTTCACCTTTAAGAGGGTTTGTTGTATTAGTCACTGTACTGGCTGTAGAAATCAAGGCTTCACTTTTCCTACTTCTGAAATTAGATGGGAGGGTGCCTAAAATGTGTATCTTTCTCTTTCAGAAAATTTTGCCAAAGACCTTGAGATGTTTGCAAGGTGGGTAGAGAACTTGGTTATCCGACGCTGCGTCTGTGCAGCTCTTTGGGGCCTCTCCATCTGGTGGGTTATTTCAGGAGAGCTTTAGCTATTCAGTTTGCCGTGTGTTTTGTGGAGGCTTGTCTCTAATCATGGTTCTGCAAGAACATGACGCCTGCCTCAATCACGGTGATTCAGACTTATTTGAACATTTTTTGAAGTTTTCCAAGTATTTTTTATTAAAGAACCCAAGTTATTCAGTTCCAAGTTAAAAAAGTGTGAATGCCATCTCCAGGACCCTGAATGGCAGTGCCTGTGTTAAAAGCCATGTCTTCGGGTGGTTTGATTGCTCAGGGTTTGAGAACATGGTGCCTGGGGGTGGCTGCCCCTGTGCGGAGGGAGCTGCCGCATGTCCGCGGTGGTAATTGCTTGCAGGTGTACACAGAATGGCAGGCAGGGCTTTTCATTTGCCGCATTTGTTCTGAGTAAGACGCACTCCTTGGAAAGAGGGTGACTTGCTTTCAGCTGCTAAAGCCTCAGCTTTTACAGATGATTTATGTTCAGCTCTTCAATTAGTGCCGCAGGTAATTGAAAACAATTGCACCAAATTGCTTTTATGAACCAGTTTGAATGACGAAGGCCTGAAAGGGCGAAAGCTTTCTAATTTGCTGCCACTTGGATTCGGTGCCAGCCTCTCCCACACCCCTTACTTTTCACCTTGCTCCCGTTAGCTCTTTGTTTCTCGGATGCCTGTTTTGAGTGAATTAAAGCAGTGGGTTCTCGGAGGGCAAGCTCTCAATCTGTCCTATTCCTGTGGATATTCGTCCCTGAAAACCGCTTAGCATCTTCAGCTTCACCAAAAGGGATAAGATAGTATGAAGGGATACCGGTAGCTCATGTGACTTAGTCATTGCTGATTCAGGCGGGAGTCCCTTATGTGTGGCCCTCCTCCCCAGTAAAAGATATTTATCACCTTTACTTGTTATTTCTTTGTTAGCTGTGGGGGGGGGGGGGGGAGAAAAAGAACGTTTAAAACACTTAAAAATACTAAATATATATATTAGAGATTCAGAGTCTTGGTATGTTGCCCAGGCTGGTCTTGAACTCCTGGACTCAAGCAATCCTGCCTTGGGCTCCCAAAGTGCTGGGATTGTAGGTGTGAGCCACCATGCTCAGCCTGAAAATACTTCTGTAAAAATTCTATTTAAAAAAATGAATAGAAAGAGCATGGTAACACATTAGGCTTTCAGATATTCTGTTTTTTAAAAAGTACATAAAAGGTAGATTTTATTTTATTTTATTTTTTTGAGACAGAGTCTCACTCTGTCGCCCAGGCTGGAGTGCAGTGGTGCAATCTTGCCTCACTGCAACCTCTGCCTCCTGGGTTCAAGTGATTTTCCTGCCTCAGCCGCCTGAGTAGCTGGGATTTTGGGTGTGCGCCACCGTACCTGGCTAAGTTTTGTATTTTTAGTAGAGATGGGGTTTTACCATGTTGGCCAGGCTGGTCTTGAACTCCGGACCTCAAGTGATCTGCCCACCTCAGTCTCCCAAAGTGCTGGGATTACAGGCGTGAGCCACTGTGCCAGGTAAACGGTTGATTTTCTTTTGCTGGGTACTGGCAGGGAAAGGAGTATGTGCGTGCGTGTGTGTGTGTGTGTGTGTGTGTGTGTGTGTATGTGGAGACCATAAGCTCCACAAGGAAGGACAACATCTTTTACATAAAAGTGTTCGTGGAGGCCAAGTGCGGTGGCTCACGCCTGTAATCCTAGCACTTTGGGAGGCTGAGGTGGGTGGATCACCTGAGCTCAGGAGTTCGAGACCAGCCTGGCCAACAGGGTGAAACCCCGTCTTCTAAAATAAAATAAAATAAAATAAAAATTAGCCAGGCGTGGCAGTGTGCGCCTGTAGTCTCAGCTACTCAGGAGGTTGAGGCAGGAGAATTGCTTGAACCAGGGAGGTGGAGGTTGCAGTGAGCCGAGATCGTGCCACTGCACTCCTGCACTCCAGCCTGGGTGACAGCGAGTCTCTGTCTCTTTAAAAAAAAAAAAGAGAGAGCGTTTAAAAAAAAAAAAGCGCGTTTGTGGAAAGGCTGCCTCTGAGAACTGAGCGAGTCCAGAGTCCAGTGATGAGGCTCCAGGAATCTGGGGTGCAGCCAGAGGCAGGGAAGCACCCCCTCTTCTTGGCACAACCCACAACTACAGGTTTTCTTTGAAGACTCATCCTTTGTGTGAATTCCAGTTTGCTTTCATACAAAAAAGCATTGTTTTAAAGTTGATCACTGAATAAAATTGATTCTCCTGGAAGGCCAGCTTTGGTTATCTTGTGGAATTGAGTTGTCCCTGTCACACTTTCTCTACTCCCAAGACTATCTTTACCCCAGTTTGAGAAAGATGGACTGTTTCAAGTCAACAATATGTTACATAGCCTCTCTAGGCTAGCCTGGGAACCTAATGAGTATTTGTAACATTGTTTCATTAAGACAAATTTGTTTTCTTTTTTCTTTTCTTTCTTTCTTTTTTTTTTTTTTTTCCTTGAGACAAGATCTCTCTGTTACCCAGGCCAGAGGGCAGTGGCAGGATTGTAGCTCACTGCAACCTAGAGCTCCTGGGTTCCAGTGATGCTGCCACCTTGGGCTTCCAGAGTGTTGCTATTACAGGCATGAGCTGAGCCACTGTGCCTGGCATCTTTTTTCTTTTTGGTGAACTTATTATGAGAAGTTTGTGTGAGAATACACATTTAAATTCTTTTTTCTTTTTCTTTTTTTCTTTTTCTTCTTTTTTGGAGCATTGGAGCAAGAGGGAGACCTGAGAACAGGGGCTGGAATTTTTTTTGTTTTTTTAGATGGAGTCTCACTCTGTCGCCCAGGCTGGATTGCCATGGCGCGATCTCAGCTCACTGCAACCTCCGCCTCCTGGGTTCAAGGCATTCTCCTGCCTCAGCCTCCCAAGTAGCTGGGATTACAGGTGCGCACCACTACGCCTGGCTGATTTTTGTGTTTTTAGTAAAGACGGGGTTTCACCATGTTGGCCAGGTTGGTCTCAAACTCCTGACCTCAGGTGATCCACCCACCTCAGCCTCCCAAAGTGCTGGGATTACTGGCATGAGCCATTGTGCCTGGCCAATTTTTTTTTTTTTTTTTTTTTAGACAGTCTCTCTCTGTCGCCCATGCTGGAGAGCAGCAGCTCAATCTCGGCTCATTGCAGCTTCTGCCTCGCGGGTTCAAGCGATTCTCCTGCCTCAGCCTCCCGAGTAGCTGGGACTACAGGCACACGCCACCACTCCTGCTAATTTTTGTGTTTTTAATAGAGATGGGGTTTCACCATATTGGCCAGGCTGGTCTTGAGCTCCTGACCTCAGGTGATCCACCTGCCTCAACCTCCCAAAGTGCTGGGATTACAGGTGTGATCCACCATGCCTGGCCGGAGAATACACAATTAAATTCTAAATCAATTCACTGGCAGACTTTGGAAAGCAACTGCCAATCTGAGTTGTTAATTTTTTTTTTTTTTTTTTTGAGATGGAGTCTCACTCTGTCACCCAGGCTGGAGTGCGGTGGTGTGATCTCAGCCCACTGCAGCTTCTGTCTCGTGGGTTCAAGCAATGCTCCTGCTTAGCCTCCCAAGTAGCTGGGTTACAGGTGCCCGCCACCACACCCGGCTAATTTTTGTCTTTGTAGTAGAGACAGGGTTTCACTGTGTTGGCCAGGCTGGCCTCGACCTCCTGACCTCAAATGATCCGCCCACCTCGGCCTCCCAAAGCTATGGGATTATAGACATGAGCCACCACACCTGGCCTGAGTTGTGAATTTATTTAGCTTTGAAATCTGTAGTCTCCTGGTATTGTTAAACATTTTGAAGAAGATAGATATTCTATAGGAAATACATTCTGGGAACTTTTGGGAATCATTTTAAGGCTGTGTTACAAAGCATATTATATGAAAAATTGCTTTTTATTTTCCCTAGCTAGAGTAATTTTCTGGAGTTGGAGGTTTGACTTAGGAGAGTCTACGATATGCAGTGGCTGGCAGAGGATGCCCTGCCCCTTCCATCAAGGGCCTTAGTGCAGAGATACCGGAGGCAAAGCTGAAGTGGCGGAGAGGACTGAGATATTGTTTCCTAAAACTTTCTTGTCAACAGATAAGTTCGCTCTGTAAATGGTTCATTGTGCTTATTCCTTTTACTGTACTTTAAGAAGAATGTAAATACAGACAGAGCAGCCTGGTTGTGAGGTTGAGACTGGGCCCCCCTGTCCATGCGCACTTAATATTCTCCACCCAGACAGAACATCTGTGTACTGGCCTCATTCTTTGTGGCTGCTCTTATGTCACCTCTGTCTTTTTTCTCTCCTGTGTGCTCCTTGCAGGTTGCTAATTAGAAAATTATCTCTTGAAGTGGGTATTACTATCTCATGACAAGCAGATACTATCAATCATGATGAGATGACGTGATATTTGTATATTTAGCAGAATATGAAGGATTAATTTGGCCAAATTATGGAGAATAATTTCTGTGTGAATTTATCTTTTAACTCAGCAGTTGTTCAGTGAGGACTCACCATGTGTGCTGGCCGCTTTGCTAGTTATTAAGGATGCAAAGATTCGTATTTATTCCTGCTTACAAAGTACCTGTGTATTTTGTGGGAAAGTTAGAAATGTAAAGAAAGGGTGTAATCAGAGTAATATATTATTGAATAGAGCTTATTATCTCAAATTACCTTTCCTAGCAAAGATAAAAGGACTAGAATGAGAATTTGAGTCCAACTTGTGAGCAAGAAGCAGACTTCAGTTTAAAGGATGTTCTTTGTGGCTGGGCACGGTGGCTTACGCCTGTAATCCTAGCACTTTGAGAGGCTGAGGCAGCTGGATCATTAGGTCAGGAGTTCGAGACCAGCCTGGCCAAGATGGTAAAACCCTGTCTCTACTAAAAATATAAAAAAATTAGTGGGGCATGGTGGGGGCGCCTGTAATCCCAGCTACACAGAAGGCTGAGGCAGAGAATTGCTTGAACCCGGGAGGTGGAGGTTGCAGTGAGCCAAGATTGTGCCACTGCACTCCAGTCTGGGTGAGAGAATAAGACTTCGTCTCAAAAAAAAAAAAAGATGTTCTTTGTTCTACCTGTGTTACTGCAGAGGGAGGGAATGCATTAACTACCCGTTGGGAATGGGGCATTAGGAGGCATCTGCATATGCTTTTTCTTGTAAGTTTCCCTTGGAGAACGTCAGAATCTTGACCTAAGTAAAGCCATCCTTTGTGGAGGTTCTCTTTGTTCTTCTATTTAGTGTCTATTTAAGCAGGTACCCTTAAATAGGTACCTTTAAATGAGGCTCATTTTCTCTGCACTAGGGTTGTACACTGACCTTCTTGATTTTTCTGCGGCCTTAACTGTGACCAAGGAAGCCAGGTTTGGAAGGGCTCTAAGCCCGGAGCCTCCTGTCTGTGTTTGTACTCTTCAGGTACCCTTGGCCCTAAGCGGAGGTGGAGAGATGAGCCTTTGCTTTCTCCATCTCTTTACTTAATTGGGGTCTTAGGAACTTCACAAATTTTTGTGTCACTTTTGCTTAATGCCCTTTATCTAAAAGGATGGGCTACTTAGATATCCCTGCTCTTTTGAAGTCTGACCCTGAACTTCTGTGTTTCGTCAAAACTTTAAATAATACCAAACATTCTGGTGACTTGCTTCTGCCCTTTCTGCAGACATGCGAAAAGAACCACAATTAACACTGAAGATGTGAAGCTCTTAGCCAGGAGGAGTAATTCACTGGTGAGAGATGAATTTCTTTCCTCACTTCCCTTTCCCATTGGAATACATTATTCCCAATCAATCACTTGAAGCCGTGAAGTTACTCCCCAGGGCACCTTGCATTAGAAACTAGAGGTGGCTGAACCATTCAGACTTACCTGTAATTTACAGTCTTGCTTTCATTATGATGGATCTTGCTAAGCCAATTTGAAATTTTCTAATCAGCACACTCTGGATTTTATAATTTGCCTTTTTTTGTAATACCTCAAAACTTTGGTCCCATGTTTCATTTACAACATGATGTCAGAGACTGGTCACAGGCTAATCTGTAGGAATAGTTTTCTTACTGTGTTCACAATTCTCCAAATGGGCCAGGTATAGAAGGAGTTTCTGAGGCCGGGCGTGGTGGCTCAAGCCTGTAATCCCAGCACCTTGGGAGGCCGAGACGGGCGGATCACGAGGTCAGGAGATCGAGACCATCCTGGCTAACACAGTGAAACCCTGTCTCTACTAAGAAAATACAAAAAAAACTAGCCGGGCACGGTGGCGGGCGCCTGTAGTCCCGGCTACTCGGGAGACTGAGGCAGGAGAATGGCGTAAACCCAGCTGAGATCCGGCCACTGCACTCCAGGCTGGGCGACAGAGCCAGACTCCATCTCAAAAAAAAGAAAAAAAAAAAAGAGTTTCTGTATGGCTGGATATGCAGGTAAAAGCACGTTTTCCATCTTTTTAAGTCTAGAAATCATTTTGACCAAGCTTCCGTTGTTCAGGTGAAGACTCAGAGATGCTCTGGTCATCCCAGGCTAGTGGCTTTGGCCAGTGGCAGAGCCAGCACGCCGGGGAGATTTCCTGACTGAGTCTAATGCTAGACATTGAAGCACTGTGGCTGTGGTAGAATGTGGGCCCCACAAGAGCAGGGGCTTTTGTCTCTTTGTTCTCTCTCCGTCTGTGTTGCCTAGAACAGTCCTGGCACACAGGAGCAGCTCAGTAAATAGTTGTTGAATGAATGAATTTGTATAGCAGTTTACAGGGGCTTTTCCAGATACTATTTTACATATATTACCTAATGCTGACAACTTTTTTTTCTTTTTTCTTTTTTTTTTTGATGGAGTCTCACTCTGTTATCCAGGCTGGAGTGTGGTGGTGTGATCTCAGGTCACTGCAACCTTCACCTCCCGGGTTCAAGCAGTTCCCTGCCTCAGCCCCTCGAGTAGCTGGGATTACAGGCTCCCACCACCATACCTGGCTAATTTTTGTATTTTTAGTAGAGATGGAGTTTCACCATATTGTCCAGGCTGGTCTTGAACTCCTGACTTCATGAAACACCCACCTCGGCCTCCCAAAGTGCTGGGATTACAGGCGTGAGCCACCGCGCCTGGCACTTCTTTTTTTTAAAATTTTAGACATGCGATCTCTCTGTGTTGCCCAGGCTGGTGTTGAACTCCTGGGCTCAAGCAGTCATCTCGCCTTGGTTTCCCAAAATGCCGGGATTACAGGTGTGTGCCACAACATTTTTTTTTTTTTGACATGGTCTCACTTTGTCACCCAGGCCGAGTGCAGTGGTGCAATCATTGCTCATTGCAGTCCCCGTCTCCTGGGCTCCAGTGATCCTTCCACCTTAGCTTCTCAAGCAGCTGGGACTACAGGTGAATGCCACCACACCAACTAATTTTTGTATTTTTTGTAGAGACGGGGTTTCACCATATTGCCTGGGGTGGTCTCAAACTCCTGGGTCAAATGATCTGCCTGCCCTGGCCTCCCAAAGTGCTGGGATTATAGGCATGAGCCACTGCACCCAGCCACAACTGTTTTTTTTTTTTTTTTTTTTTGATGGTTTCACTGCACCCAGCCACAACTGCTTTTTTTTTTTTGAGATGGAGTCTGCTTCACCCAGGCTGGAGGCAGTGGAGCGCGGAGGTCTCGGCCTCGCCTGCAGCTCCGCTCCCAGGTTCACGCATTCTTTTCCGTTCTGTTTGAGTAGCTGGGATTATAGGCGCTTTCACACGCGCTTCCAAGAGCCTTTTTTTTGTATTTTTAGTAGAGACGGAAAGTTTCACCGTGGTCTCAATCTCCTGACTCTGTGATCCGCCATTCCTCAGCCTCCCAAAGTGCTGGAATTACAGGCGTGAGCCACCGCGCCCGGCTGCCACAACTCTTACTAACACAACTTACTGGTTAGGTGCAGTGGCTCATGCCAATAATCCCAGAACTTTGGGAGGCCAAGGCAGGAGGATTGCTTGAGCCCAGGAGTTTGAGACCAGCCTGGCCACATAGTGACACCCTCATATCTACAAAAATTTTTTAAAAAAGAAGAAAAGGCCGGGCGCGGTGGCTCAAGCCAGTAATCCCAACACTTTGGGAGGCTGAGGTGGGCGGATCACAAGGTCAGGAGATCAAGACCATCCTGGCTACCATGGTGAAACTCTGTCTCTACTAAAAATACACAAAAATAATTAGCCAGGCGTGGGGGCGGGGGCCTGTAGTCCCAGCTACTCGGGAGGCTGAGGCAGGAGAGTGGCGTGAACCCGGGAGGTGGAGCCTGCAGTGAGCCGAGATCGCGCCACTGCGCTCCAGCCTGGGCGACAGAGTGAGACTCTGTCTCAAAAAAAAAAAAAAAAAAGAAGAAAAAAATTGAAGCTGCATTTAATTCTAAGAAATGTAACCCAGGCTTTGGCTTTTCTACCCACATTCTTTGAGTCAGAGGTGGTTGTGGAGGATTTAGTTTTCTTTGTTTGTTTGTTTGTTTAGGTTTATAAAATGGTTACAGCCAGATATAAATACAGATTTTTTTTATAGCTAAAATACATCACAGACAAAAGTGAAGAGATTGCTCAGATTAACGTAGAACGGAAAGCACAGAAGAAAAAGAAATCAGAGGATGGAAGCAAAAATTCAAGGGAGCCAGCAGAGGCTGGACTGGGGGAAAGTGAGAATTAAAGCCCCTCGCCGCCTGGAAAATGCAGCCTTCTACAGGTAGAGCCGCCTAGAAATGCGCATGGCCGCCAAGGAGACTTCGAAGGGGTAGAGACTAAAAAATACATAAATAAAAAGACTAGGCTAGGGGGGTTTTTGTGCTGAATTCTCCACATTGTTAACGGCAAAAGCTAGTTTTAGAGAATGGGAAAGTCTTAAGCAAAATACTCCCAGATCTCACTCCAGAACATAAAAATGGTGTGTGCTTGAATGGTATGTATTAGAAATTCCATCTATTGTAATTAAAATTGTGTGCGCAGTTAAACATGGTTGACTTTTTCAAGCAAAAATCAGTTCATCTTTTGATGTAATTTTGTAGGCTAAATGACAATCTCTGAAAGATGAATAAAGTTATATTTATTTAGCTTTTCTGGTTACTAATGTTTTTAAACATAGGCCGCCTTTGGTCACCAGGTAAAAGGGCATATGTTTGGGAATGGCCCTTTTTACTTTTTTTTTTTTGGAGAAGGAGTCTTGCTCCGTTACCCAGGCTGGAGTGCAGTGGCACGATCTCACCTCACTGCAACCTCTGCCTCCCGGGTTCAAGCAGTTCTCTGCCTCCGCCTCCTGAATAGCTGGGATTATAGGTGCACGCACCATGCCTGGCTCATGTTTGTAGTTTTAGTAGAGACGGGGTTTCCCCATCTTGGCCAGGCTGGTCTTCAACTCCTGACCTTGTGATCCACCCACCTTGGCCTCCCAAAGTGCTGGAATTGCAGATGTGAGCCACCGTGCCCAGCCTTTTAATTTTTTTACATATTATTTTTGTGTGTGTGAGACACAGTCTTGCTCTCTTGCCAGGCTAGAGTGCAATGATGTGATCTCAGCTCACTGCAGCCTCCACCTCCCAGTTTCCCAAGTAGCTGGGACTACAGGCATGCACCACTATACCCAGCTAATTTGTGTGTGTGTTGTGTGTGTTTTGTTTTGTTTTGTTTTTTCTCATGCCTTTGGGTTTCTTAGAGGTCCAGGCACGCCTTTCCCTTTACCCTTCGGCAATATAGTGAAGAGAAGGGGCAGGGGTTTGTGGAGCCCTTTCTGTGTGCCAGGCACCCACTGGGTACTCCATGTATTACCTCGCTGGTCTTCACAACTTGATCGGCGTAGATCTGATTCTTCATCTTCTCCCGATGAGCAAATGGAAGTTTGATGAGGTTCACCAGCTGCCCAGGGTCACCCGGCCACAGTCAGGAGACAGTGTTCACATTTGGGGCCACTCACTCTAGAATCGGTGAGAGAAAAGGGCATTCATTTGGAGTAGAATTTATACCATCTGTGCCCAAATAGGATCAGCAGAAGATGCCCCAAAGCTACCCTGACTCTCCAAGGGAGGCACTAAGCTATGGCCGTAGTAGGGCGCCAAGTTCATACTTTGTGGTTTCGGGTCTGCAAATGGCTCAGCACTTGTTCTCATGTTAATTATAATATCTGTGTGTCATATCAGGGAATGAAAAGTGAATCATAAAGCCTGCCTTCCTAGTACGGTCAGCCAAAGACCTGTATGTTAGCAGTTTCATTTTCGGATAAGCACTCTTTAAACTCCTTATTGGCTAGGTGCAGTGGCTTGTGTCTGTAGTCCCAGCAACTTGGAAGGCTGAGGCAGGAGATTCACTTAAGTCTGGGAGTTTGAGACCAGCCTGGGCAGCACAGTGAGACCCCATCTCTAAAAAAAATAAAAAATTTAGTTAGGCATGGTGGTGCCTGCCTGTAGACCCAGCCAGCTACTCAAGAGGCTGAGGCAGACGGTTGCTTGATCCCGGGAGTTGAAGGCTTTAGTGAGGTGACTGTGCTACTGCACTGCAGCCTGGTGCACTGGGGTGACAGAACAAGACCCCAACTCTAAAAAATAAATTCGGGAGGCTGAGACAGGAGAATCGCTTGAACCCAGGAGGTGGAGGCTGCAGTGAGCCGAGATTGTGCCACTGTACTCCAGCCTGGGCGAGAGTGAGACTCAGTCTCAAAATAAAATAAATTTAAAACTCATCAAGAAGAGTTTAGGGAATAGATACTATAGACTTTCCAAAGGTTGAAAGATCTGGGTTTGTGTCTTAGGTTTGCAACCCTAGTAGCTGTATAACTTTCAGAGACTTTGTGCTTTTTTTTTTCGTTCATTGAGACAGGGTCTCTGTCACCCAGACTGGAATGCAGTGGCACGATCATGACTCACTGCAGCCTCAACCTCCCAGGCTTAAGTGATCCTCCTGCCTCAGCCTCCTGAGTAGCTGGGATTACAGGCATGTGCTACCATGCCCGGCTAATTTTTTAGTTTTTTTTTGTAGAGATAGGGTCTCAGAATGTTGCCCAGGCTGGTCTCAAACTCCTGGGCTGGACTCAAGTGATCCTCCTGCCTCAACCTCCCAAAGTGCTGAGATTATAGGCATGAGTCTCTGCACCTGGCCTTTTCTTTTCTTTTCTGAGATGGGCTTTTGCTCTGTACAGTGGCATGATCACAGCTCACTGCAGCTCACTCCCAAGTGCAGGTGTGTGTTACCACACAGGGCTAAGTTTCTTTTCTTTTTGAGACAAGGTCTCACTCTGTCATCCATGCTGGAGTACAGGGGCTCAATCTTGATCACTGCAGCCTCCACGTCCCATGCTCAGGTGATCCTCCTACCTCAGCCTCCCAAGTAGCTGGGGCCACATTTGTGTGCCACCATGTCTAGCTAGTTTTTGTATTTTTTTTTTTTTTTGGTAGAGGTGGGGTTTTGCATGTTGCCCAGGCTAGTCTTGAACTCCTGGGCTCAAGTGATCCTCCTGCCCCAGCCTCTCAAAGAACTGGGATTGTAGGCATGAGTCACTGCACCCGGCCTTTTTTTTTTTTTTTTTTTTGAGATGGGCTCTTGCTATGTCACCCAGGCTGATCACAGCTCACTGCAGCCACGACTTCCTGGGCTCAAGCAATCCTCCTGCCTCAGCCTCCCAAGTGCCTGAGACTGCAGGTGTGTGTTGCCACACCTGGCTAAGGTTTTCTTTTTTCTTTTTTGTCATAAAGTCTCATTCTGTCACCCATGCTGTAGTGCAGTGGTGCAATCTTGGCTCACTACAGCCTTGACCTCCTATGCTCAGATGATCCTCCTACCTCGGCCCCCCAAGTAGCTGGGACCACGGGTGTGCGTCTCCACGCCCAGCTAATTTCTCTAGAGATGGGGTTTTGCCATGTTGCCCAGGCTGGTCTTGAACTCCTGGGCTCAAGCGATCCTCTCGCCTCAGCCTCCCAAATAGTCAGGACTACAGGTGTGCATTGCCATGCCTTGCTAAATTTTGTTTTTTTGGTGGAGATGGGGTCTTGCTATGTTGCCCAGTCTGGTCTTGAACTCCTGGGCTTAAGTGATCCTCTCATCTCCACCTCCCAAAGTTTGCCACCTTCTTGAAACAGTCATCAGTTCTCATGAAGTCTTCCCCAATTTGCAGCACATTCCCCTTCTTTGCACACTTCTTATCACACTGAAAAATGTCCTTGTCTTTCATTTGTGTCCATGTATCCTATTTCTTTTAGGCTACAACACCTCTGTCGGGGTTTGGGTGGCATGGGTCCCTTGTGGTATTGCAAGTTCCATGCTGGGTGCTCAGAATGTTTAATGAGCTCATCGAATAAAATTGGCACACTAGATTAACGATATAGGAAGTTGGTGAGGCTGGGTGTGGTGGCCTCACGCCTGTAATCCCAGCACTTTGGGAGGCTGAGATGGGTGGATCACTTGAGTTCAGAAGTTTGAGACCAGCCTGGCCAACATGATGAAATCTCTATTAAAAATACTAAAAATACAAAAATTAGCTGGGCGTGGTGGCTCGTGCCTGTAATCCCAGCTACTCGGGAAGCTGAGACAGGAGAATCCCTTGAACCTGGGAGGTGGAGGTTGCAGTGAGCTGAAGTTGTGCCACTGCACTCCAGCCTGGGTGACAGAGCGAGACTCTGTCTCAAAAAACAAAAAGAAGCTGGCTGAACTGCTGTGAATGTCTCATGTGCAAGTATAACTCAAAATTTTTAGTGTCATTTATAGGAATTTTGGTACAGAAATAACAGATGAAGCAACATACGACATATAAGTCTCTGGTCAGCAGGCCATGCTGATCTTACCTAGGATTTTAACATAAGCAAAAAGACTGTGACAAATTCAAGATTGAGATTTCCCCCGTGAAGGTGTAAACCAGGACTCTGGAAAACTAAAAACAAATATGTTCATTTCTAGAAAGTGCCATCAGTTTTGGGTTGTGTTACTTCAATTTACAGCCTTGCTTTGGATGTTGGTCATCTATAGTAGGTTTGGGTGGATGTTCCAGATTTTACTCGGTGTCCAGTTGGGCGAAGGGTCTGTGCATTTGTCTGTGATTCAGCAATGAGGGCCTGTGAGGGAGAGCCAGCAGGTAGCACAGGGAGGGACTCCATGGTCTGCACGCTCAGCAGTGGTGCCAGCCTCGGGAGGACAGAGAGCCCTGGGAGTCAGCTGAGGGCAGGGCCGGGCACTGCTTCCCAAACTGTGACTGTGCCCTGCAGTAACAATACGTTTCACACCCGACACCCACAACGTGAATCATTATTTGTCCTCACTACGGGTGATGCACACTAATTTCAATTTCATTCTAAAGGAAAGTACCGGCCTGTGACCCACAAGCAGGTGGTCAGGAGCAGTTTAGAAAACACTGGACCGGGCCGGGCGCGGTGGCTCATGCCTGTAATCCTAGCATTTTGGGAGGCCAAGGTGGGCGGATCATGAGGTCAGGAGATGGAGACCAGTCTGGCTAACGTGGTGAAACCCTGTCTCTACTAAAAATACAAAATTAGTCAGGCATGGTGGCACATGCCTGTAATCCCAGTTACTCAGGAGGCTGAGGCAGGAGAATCACTTGAACCCGGGAGGCAGAGGTTGCGGTGAGCCGAGATCACACCATTGCACTCCAGCCTGGGCAACAAGAGCGAGACTCCATCTCAAAAAAAAGAAAACACTGGACGATCAGGAGTTCGAGACCAGCTTGGCCAACATGGTGAAAACCTGTCCCTACTAAAAATACAAAAATTAGCCAGGCATGGTGGTGGGTGCCTGAAATCCCAGCTACTTGGGAGGCTGAAGCAGGAGAATTGCTTGAACCCAGGAGGCAGAGGATGCAGTGAGCTGGGTGTGCCATTGCACCCCAGGCCGAGTGGGCCAGAGCGCGGCTGCCCTGGGGTCAGCAGTGCCTGGGTGCTTGTTGGAAATGCAGCTCTCAACTCCTCCCTGCCTCAGGGCATCAGGACCTGCCTGCAAAGCGATCATCTGCACTTCAGTTTGAGAAGGCCTGGCCTAGAGGACGGTGGGTCTGGCCTGCTGGGCTGAGGCAGTACTGGGAGCAATTCTTGGGGCCTCCTTGCCAACAATTTGGTGAAACCAGCGGATACTATCGTAGCATCTCTGAGCTCCCATTGCCTCCTTGTTTCTCTGCCTGTAGTAGAAGAATGTCTTTGAAATTACTGGATGAGTTTCAGTCATACTTTCACATGGGCACAATTTCACATTCAAGCTCCTTATCCAAGGCTAATTTTATATTATGTTAAATCACTTGTTTTTGTTCTCACAGCTTCCTGCCTGCTATAGGCATAATTACGAGGAAGCAGAACTTCTCCAGAAGCAAGCGCACATGCGTTCCAAAATAAGAGCAAATTCGCTCTAAACACAGGAAAAGACCTGAAGCTTTAATTAAGGAGTTAGATCCAATCCTAAAGCGCTTTTGTGGGCACTGATTGCTCCAGCTTCTGCGTCACTGCATGAGGGAAGAGGATCCAGGCGTTAGACATGTACAGACACAAAAAACAGCTGGAGATTGGGCTTAAAATACCCACCAAGCTCCAAAGAAGAGACCCAAGTCCCCAAAACATTGATTTCAGGGCTGCCAGGAAGGAAGAGCAGCAGCAGGGTGTGAGAGAAGCTCCCGTCAGCCTACAAGATGCCGTTGCCCCCCGGCCTCCTGCTGCTGCTGCTCTCTGGGGCCACGGCCACCGCCGCCCTGCCCCTGGAGGGCAGCCCCACTGGCCCAGACAGCGAGGTGAGTACAGTCCCGACGTGGCCACACGCTAGCCCACTCTCTGTCTCTTGTTGGCTTTTTGGCCTGCATGGTGAGTGTGTGTGTGCACGTATGTTGCAGTTCACAGCTTGGACAGGACACAGGGCTGAGCTTTGTAGTGATCTTGGCTGGCTTGAGGTACTGGGATGTTACATTCAGATCACTGATCCTCAGTTACATGTCCCAACCCATGAAGCCTGCTGGAAACCTGTGCAGCTCAAGGAGGACCCTTCATGCCAGGGCTCCCTCCGTCGGGTGTCTGGGAAAGGGGAAGCGAGTGTACCGGTCCACTGCAGGGCAGGCGTGGAACTGCGACAGCCCTTCCAGAGCCTTCAGTTACACACAGCACAGGCTCCCACTGGCTCAGAGTAACTGGCATCATTACATTTTCCATTGTGAGAATTTGTAACTTCATGAGGTGATTGATTGTTCTTTTTTCCATTTTGAGAAAGTTCCAAGAAAGAGTATATAAAGTTGAGCATTAAAAATGGATTTTTCTCTAAAATTATCAGATGAGTTTCAGGCAGGCCATTTATCAGCAGATTACTCCCAGAAGCTTTCTAAGGAATTTGAAAAACCAGAATTTAACGTTTCAGTCCCATCGTCTCAGAAAGCAACTTGCGGACATCCAGGAGCGTGGCCAAAGGTGGGAGAACGAATAAATTAGCCTGATCCACCTTGGGGCTTCTCAGCTGCCAGTCACTGGGGGGAAAATGGCAGATTTCCTGACGTCTCCTAATTAAGGACCTTAGCAAAGAGTATGGAGCAAAACCACCAGGTTTTTTTGACTTAAAATGACCAACTTTTCCTTTTCTCTAATTAGAGCAATTTAAGGCATTCGCTTCACTTTCTCATCTTCATCCTTTAAGTGGAAATGAGGCTTATTGCTATGGAGCATCTTTTCATTTTTTTCTTTTATTTATTTATTTTTAATATTTTCTTTCTCTTTTCTCCAGGGTAGTCTTCTAGTAGATCTTTTTTTTTTTTTTTTTTTTTTATTGATTTTTAATATTTTTTTTCTCTTTTCTCCAGGGTAGTCTTCTAGTAGATTTTTTTTTTTTTTTTTTTTGTAAGGAGATTGCATATCTTTGAATGCCTGCTGCCTGAGCCAGATTGCTGAGTTTTCTTTCCTTTGCCATCTGCTTCTCTTTAAAAGCATATGCCGGAAGCGGCAGGAATAAGGAAAAGCAGCCTCCTGACTTTCCTCGCTTGGTGGTTTGAGTGGACCTCCCAGGCCAGTGCCGGGCCCCTCATAGGAGAGGAAGCCAGGGAGGTGGCCAGGCGGCAGGAAGGCGCACCCCCCCAGCAATCCGCACGCCGGGACAGAACGCCCTGCAAGAACTTCTTCTGGAAGACCTTCTCCTCCTGCAAATAAAACCTCACCCATGATACTCACGCAAGTGTAATGACAGACCTGAATAAAATGTATTAAGCAGCAGCGATCTTTCCTTTCCTCCTTCCCAGGTCATTTCAAAAGTGTTTTTTATTTAAATTCCAATAATGCCCAATACTGACATGTCTTAAGTAATTTGGAACCCAAAGTGAACATCTTTGATAAAGATTTTTTTGCGGTTTGACTGAACCATGCTAAGTGCGGGCACTGGGCTTTCCTTCTGACGTTCATTATGGTGCTGGGAAGCTCTGTCTTTGATTTAAAATAAAATAGTTAAAGGCTACATAATTAAGAGTTCAGAATAACATCTTATTTCAGTTTATGAATTGATATGAATTGTCTAATTTAAAAAATATTTCCCTAACATTAAAAGCAAATTTTTAACATCAGGCTCAAAAAGCAAAATGATTATTCCTCATGTTTTAGCTGAAATTAATTTTAAAACATTAAACAGAAAACATGCCGACATGCCTATGAAACTTACACTCGAACCTGCTGTTATGTACCAGTTTTAATTAGTAGCTTAATGGGTTGCAATTCTTTTCATGGATTATAGCTTCAGATTTGCTTTGGGAGGAATGAAGTCTACTCACAGAATTTTTTTTTTTTTTTTTTGAGACAGAGTCTAGCTGTCACCCAGGCTAGAGTGCAGCGGAATGATCTCAGCTCACTGCAACATCCGCCTCCCAGGTTCATGTGATTCTCCTGCCTCAGCTTTCCGAGTAGCTGGGACTACAGCATGCGCCACCATGCCTGGCTAATTTTTCTTTCTTTTTTTTTTTTTGAGATGGAGTTTCGCTTTTGTTGCCCGTGGTGTGGTCTCAGCTCACTGCAACTTCCGCCTCCCAGGTTCAAGTGACTCTCCTGCCTCAGCCTCCCAAGTAGCTGGGACTGGAGGCACACACCACCATGCCTGGCTAATATTTGTATTTTTATTTTATTTATTTATTTTGAGACAGAGTCTCACTCTGTCACCAAGGCCAGAGTACAGTGGCATGATCTCGGCTCACTGCAGGCTCTGCCTCCTGGGTTCATGCCATTCTGCCTCAGTCCCAGCCTGTAGCTGGGACTACAGGTGCCCGCCACCATGCCCGGCTAATTTTTTGTATTTTTAGTAGAGACGGGTTTTCACTGTGTTAGCCAGGATGGTCTCGATCTCCTGACCTCATGATCCGTGTAATTTTTGTATTTTTAATAGAGACGGGGGTTTCTCCATGTTGGTCAGGCTGGTCTCGAACTCTTAACCTCAGGTGATCCACCTGCCTCGGCCTCCCAAAGTGCTGGGATTACAGGCATGAGCCACCACGCCTGGCTGTGAAGGTTTTTAGATGCTAAACTTTATTGGGAAAACCAGCAAAGGCTGGCTGGAGGACAAGGGAATATTCTCTTCTCTGGACACTGGGGAGTGGACTCCCTGAGAATGACTGCTGACCATTCCATTGTTTTCTGCTGAGCTGAGCTCATATTCATAATTACTAGCTGAATAAAGTATAATGTGATGGAAGAGACTTAATAGTATCCACGTTTCTAAACACAGCCGCTTTAGGAGACCAGTAATTGGGTCAGTGCACTGGTGGAAGCTGCCTGCCTGAAAGGCCAGCTAACCTTCCAGAACTTTAAGATTTTTCTAGAAAGAAGCCATGCTCATTGTTTTTGTTTTTTAAATTGGGGTCGGCAGGGTGCAGTGGCTCATGCCTGTAATCCCAGCACTGTGGGAGGCCAAGGCAGGTAGATCGCTTGGGGCCAGGAGTTCGAGACCAGCCTGGCCAATGTGATGAAACCCCGTCTCTACTAAAAATACAAAAATTACCCAGACGTGATGGCGCATGCCTGTAATCCCAGCTACTTGGGAGGCTGAGGCACGAGCATCACTTGAGCCTGGGAGGTGGAGGTTATAGTGAGCCGAGATCATGCCACTGCACTCCAGTCTGGGTGACAGAATGAGACTCTGTCTCAAAAATAATAGTAAAATAAAATAGGGGCCAGGCATGGTGGCTCACACCTGTAATCCCAGCACCTTGCGAAGCCGAGGTGGGTGGATCACCTGAGGTCAGGTATTCAAGACCAGCCTGATGAATGTGGTGAAACCCTGTCTCTACTAAAAATACAAAAAATTAGCTGGGCTTGGTGGCACATACCTGTAACCCCAGCTACTCGGGAGGCTGTGGCAGGAGAATCGCCTGAACCCGGGAGGCAGAGGTTGCAGTGAGCCTTGATTGTGCCACTGTACTCCAGCCTGGGTGACAGAGTGAGACTCTTGTCTCAAAAAAAAAATTAATAAATAAATTGGGGTCATCCATACAGACATTAAGATTGGGGATTTTACCTTTTAACTAAGTAGTATCTGTAGGATTGTGAGGCTCTACTAGTGCTCCTGCCAGGAAATTCATCAAGTCTAAGCCTACCTTAGTTCAGGGGACTTACAACATTAACTGCCGTCAACTGCATGTTAGACCTGATTAATATGCTTGTGATTAATAAATCAAGGTAAAATGTTAATTTTCCCCCATCTGGTTTTTGGTGGACTTTTCTGTAGTTCAGTATAGTCAGGTGTGTAGATCTGGGCAATCAGACCCTGGGCAACTTCAAGTTCATTCTCTTGTTATTCTGTCCAGGATTTGGCACCAGAACAGCTCCTTAACTGCTGAGGAGGAATGAAGGATGACAGGCACTCAGTTTTCCTATTTCAGGGCTGACAGCAAAGGATTCCAGGCTTTAGGAAACTCAGATTGGGAAGCTGAGGGGAGATACTTACCTTGATTTAAACAGCACCTGTTGAAGGGGCAGACCATCTTTTTTTCTTTTTTCTTTTTTTTTTGAGACAGAGTCTCGCTCTGTTGCCCAGGCTCTGGAGTGCAGTGGCGAGATCTCGGCTCACTGAAGGCTCCGCCTCCCGGGCTCACGTCATTTTTCTGCCTCAGCCTCCCGAGTAGCTGGGACTACAGGTGCCCACCACCACGCCCAGCTAATTTTTCATATTTTTTAGTAGAGAGGGGTTTCACCGTGTTAGCCAGTAGTGTCTTCCATAGAGAGAGAGGTTTCATTTGGAAGGTATTAGGCCGTTCTTGTGTTGCTATAAAGAAATACCTAGCCAGGCACAGTGGCTCATGCCCGTAATTCCAGCAGCCTGTAATTTCCAGACCAGCATGACCAAAATGGTGAAACCCCATCTCTACTAAAAATACAAAAAAATAAGCCAGGCGTGGTGGCGGGCACCTATAATGCCAGCTACTCAGGAGGCTGAGGCAGGAGAATCGCTTCAACCTGGGAGGCAGAGGTTGCGGTGAGCTGAGATTGCACCATTGCACTCCAGCCTGGGCAACAAGAGCACAACTCTGTCTCAAAAAAAAAAAAAAAACACCTGAGAAGAGGTTTAATTGACTCATGGTTCCACAGGCTGTATAGAAGCATGCCACCAGGTGGCCGGGTGCGGTGGCTCACACCCGTAATCCCAACACTTTGGGAGACGGAGGCGGGCAGATCACCTGAGGTTGGACCAACCTGACCAACATGGAGAAAGCCCATCTCTACTAAAAATACAAAATTAGCCGGGCTAATGGTGGCGGCGCATGCCTGTAATCCCAGCTACTAGGGAGGCTGAGGCAGGAGAATTGCTTGAACCTGGGAGGTAGAGGTTGCGGTGAGTCGAGATCGCGCCATTGCACTCCAGCCTGGGCAACAAGAGCAAAACTCCGTCTCAAAAAAAAAAAAAAAAGCATGGCATCAGGAATCTATCTGCTCAGTTTCTGGTGAGGCCTCAGGAAGCTTCCAATCATTACTGAAAGCCAAGTAGGACCTAGTGTATCACACAGTGAGGAGAGCAAGAGCAAGAGAGAGACTTGGGCTGGGTAAGGGGATGCCACACACACTTTTTTTTTCTTTTTCGAGACGGAGTTTCGCTCTTGTTGCCTAGGCTGGAGTGCAATGGCATGATCTCAGCTCACTGCAACCTCCACCTCCCGGGTTCAAGCGATTCTCCTGCCTTAGCCTCCTGAGTAGCTGGGATTACAGCTACAAGCATGAGCTGCTGTGGTACCACCCCTGGGCTGTTTGTAACTTCTTATAATGCTAGTAAAAATAGTAATTTCTCTTTCCCATTTTGCATTTGTAATTAAAAAACGTATTTTGTTAAAAAAATCAGTCTGAAGGAAAAGCTAGAATTTTGGGGGTAATAGTTCTTATGGTACTGAAAAATACAGCCGGGCGTGGTGGCTCATGCTTGTAATCCCAGCACTTTGGGAGGCCAAGGACGGCAGATCACGTGAGGTCAGAAGTTCGATATCAACCTGGCCAACGTGGAGAAACCCCATCACTACTAAAAATACAAAAATTAGCCGGGGGTGGTGGCACACCCCTGTAATCCCAGCTATTTGGGAGGTTGAGGCAGGAGAATCCGTTGAACCTGGTGAACCTGGGAGGCGGAGGTTGCAGTGAGCTGAACCCGGTGAACCTGGGAGGCGGGAGGTTGCAGTGAGCTCAGATCAAGCCACTGTACTCCAGCCTGGGTGACAGGTGAGCAAGATTGTCTCTTAAAAAAAAAAAAAAAAGGAAACGAAAAGATTGAAGAAAATCCAGTATTCATGCTCTTAACCTGCTGGTTCATTTCCTTGTAACTTTGTTAATTGCACTAGTGTTGTCTGATATCATGCGAGCAACTTGCTGTCCTAAGGTTCTGGTAATCTGAAAGTGCAGTGCAGCCCTGGAGGGCGCTGTCCTCTGGCTGAGTTTCTAACATAGCCGAGGTCACTGTCAGAGCCATTGGAGGACTTCCAAAGCAGTGGATGGGGATGCAGACTAGATCATGTCCAAGGTCCTTAAAAACCGCAGGAGTAAGATGCAAGCTAAAAGGATTTAAGGCAAACCCAACAAACAAAAGGGACAAAAACCCTCGGGCGGTGGGGAAAGAGTCGGATGGGAGCCAGCCAGGATCTCAGCACTGGGAGGCCGAGACGGGTGGATCACGAGGTCAGGAGATGGAGACCATCTCATAACAGGTGAAACTCCCGTCTCTACTAAAAATACAAAAATTAGCCGGGCAGTGGTGGCGGGCGCCAGGAAGTCTCGGGAGGTTATGGCACCCGGGGCGGGCTGCAGTGAGCCGAATGCGCCACTGCACTCCAGCCCAGGCGACAGAGCGAGACTTCAGCCTGGAAAAAAAAAAAGCTTGAACAGGTAATTAGGAATTAAACAGCTAAATTTTTTTTTTTTTTTTTGAGAGGAGTTTTGCCCAGGCTGGAGTGCAATGGCACGACCTTGGCCACAACAACCTCCGCCTCCCAGGTTCA